TCATATATTTGTTGAGGGCAGGGGGATATTTGTCCGACGTGTGCTCTACGCCAATTGTCGTGTCCTACGGGCGATGAATAGCACTAATTCCGGCGTAATTGTGGAAAATGTGGTGTTGTGATAGGTCTATGATTCTGGTGTACATACAATTTGTGGGATCTCGCTGCTAGTGATCACAGATGCGCTGCTGGGCCGGACAGGTCAAGAAGAGGAGTGGAGAATGATCTCTGTAGAATGAGGAAAGACTGAATTTCTTGCTCTATCTACTGTGGAGGAAAGCTCTCTACTTATAGTTCCTAGACTATTGCTTACTAATGATACTAACTCAACAAAGCAGGAGCAAACAGAGAAATGCATGCAGTTGCATGACTATCATAACTGGAGCTTTACACTGTAGCTATGTGGGTCCAGGCACAACACGTGGCCTATCACGTTGATCTTGGCAAGCTTGGCCTGGAGAGAGTTGATCCAATCATTGAGGGAGACTCTGAGGGTGAGGATTGTCTTGGAAGAGTTGTTGCTCATGTTCACTGTTAAGTTGTCTTTTTTTTTAATTTGAAGGCTGAAAAATGCTGTTTTTGTTAGAATTTAGAATAATTGGGACTATCAAGTGGGACACGTTGCTAATATACATGTGACTGATAATTCTGCACTTAGTTTCACTTTGGTAGTTACTTGAATAAATGCGCTCTACAACCTCAATGACTGAGGGGTCACTATTTCCTTTATAGAAATGTCGATGCTTTTATATCCCGTCAACTTGTTTACTGACCAATCACAAAGCCCACTAAGCTTCCTTGTGCCATCTGTCCCAGTCAAGCAAACCAACTGAACCACTTCATGTGACCTGTCCAACTTTGCACCTTATCTCACAACAGCCTTGCTACCCAAGCGTCACGTGTCATGCTTTGCGTCAACTATAGCTGAGCACAACATAAAATGGTTTTGTTTCTTGAAATTCTCAAGCCAACAAGCGCTGGAATCAGGATACAGTTGGCTAGCGTGCTGTAGCAATTGTGTCCAGATCTGCTTTTCCTTCTCAAGAAGCAAATCATCAGCTGTGATCCCTCTTCCTTGTTCAATTTGAATTTGCCATGCCAGGAGAATACTCTCAAGGTCAGGCCAGTTTCCAGCTCGCTGTTGTAGCGCAGTAGTACTTATGGCTTTGTCGAGTTTCGCAAAGGTATTGCTCAATGTTAGAGTATAGAGAAGACTTCGGGGTAAGAATTGCCTGAGAACAGAGAAGAAGTTCAGTTTGCTTAATTGACTAATAGACTAAAGGTATTATGATATATGCTGTGGAATTACAAGAAAGAGGTTATCCGGAACTGACTCAACTGCAGAAATAAGTGGGAGCCTAGACCAGAAAATAATTATCCACTGACTCAGAATACTGGGTCATGCAATAGAAATACGAACAAACCAATGACTGGATTTGTTTGGGAAGAATGGGATTCAAGCAGACTCTAATGTTGAGTCTGATTGGATCAGAAGTGTGTGATCCTGCCTGACCTCAGAAATAGAGTTCAGACAAGATGCATGCAACCACATTGGTCAATAGAAAGAAAAGCAGGAAACTGTATTTCCAACACTCAAGGACTTGGATAATGTGGACTGGCTTAATTGATGGCCGTACTTAGCAAAGTGCCACTAAATGCACTGTTTTTGTGTTGGTTTTGGGACCTAGTGTTATAATAACGAGGTCATGAGAAGACAGAGGAATACCTGAGATGGATGCAGATGATTATGGATATGCGGATATAATTGATGCAGCTGTAATGCAAAGATTTGTTGGCATGGAAAGTGGTAAGATGGCTATCTATCTATGTGTGGAAGTATTATTAAGATTACGAGTTAAATGGGAACATAGTTACTTGCAATGTGTCACAATTTTTGTTCAGATGATTTGATACTTGGTAATGTGATTGCTGGCAGGTGTCCGAAACTTTTCCGATCCTGTTCATGAGACAGAACATAGACTACTTATATACTCTAATATGACCCATGTCATTGTCTACATTCTCTCTCCTGACTTACTGCCAACAGCATGCCTAGGTAAAACTCTGCAGCTCATGAATCTGTCTCTCATGAGAGGCATCCGCTGTTCCGGTGGCTGGCGCGCGCGGTCCGAGTACGCGTCGCTGCAATGCCTCAATCACTTATGCATAATATCCTAGCTGAGCGATCCTGAACCTAGCTGTTCAGGAACGACAGCAATCCAGTCCATGGTTCGCGCCTGTGGTTTGTATACACACCACAGCATCGCTCCAATTGTTCCCATACAATGTCTCAGTCCCGCAGTCCTTAGTCCATTACTCAGGAGCGGAAGCAGTTGTATAGTTCCAATAGTGCGCTAGGTTTGCATGTACCTCTGAGCGCTATCCCGCAATTTTCCGGCAATATCTAACCGCTTATGGCTCGTGCACGTGGTCAGTAGACTCTTCACGACGCTACCCCAATCGTTGCCTTGCAATGACTCAACCTGGTGCTCCCAAGTCCGAGACTAAGGAGCAGCAGCGGTTGTATCCTTGGTCAACGCAAGACGTGCATATGCACCTGTCGGCGCAGAGCCGGTCATTGACGACCAATATCACAACAAGTATTGCTTCCTTATAACACATTCAACCCCCAGTCCTGATCACACACTCATCACAGGTGCTTCCTACTCCTGTCATAGTAACCACTTCCATAGCCACTACCAATATCTCCTGACATAACATACTATTGATACTGGTTGCTAGTGTGGACCTTCTGGGATTACAGAGCTACACACCATTGTCACATTATATGCTGTTGCCCCTCGGTAGCCAACAGAGTGATGTTGCTATGAATCTACTTATTGGCAAATTTTCGAAGCTGTTAAGCTGCAGAGGTCGAGTCGATTTTGACAAAGACAAATTATCGAAGGTTCGAGGTTACAAAGTTACAAAGGTCGAAGGTTGAAGGTGCAAATGTCAAATGTGCGAAGGTACAAATGAAGGTAATTGAGGCTCGGATTATCAAAGTTACGAATTCATATGTTCAAATTATCATATTATCAAAATATCGAGTTCCCAATAAGCAAATTATACAATAAACAGAAAAGAAACAAAATTGTTAGAACTAAAGAACAAATTCAAATTTCCAGCCTGAACAAATCCAAATCCTGTTGCCTCAGATCTAACCAAATTAAGAAGATAACCCCTGCATCACCACATCCAGATTAAATCTAACAAATTCATAACAGATGTGTACCTCATTCTAGACACAATGGTCTACCAGGCAACGCTCGGATGTGGGAAGTCGCCAGAGTGATTATGCCCTCAGATGTACTTTCAGTGCCCTAATCTCACCTAGCTTCCTGCGCCCGAGTGTCCGAGTGCCGCAATAGTGGAAGCTCAATGAGACTCGATCGGAGCTGATCCGTGGTATTCACACTATCTAGTGCTGCGCCCATCTTTGCAGAGCACGTTGTTGCTCTACAGAAATGCCCTATTTTGGCGGCATTATTAACACTAATCTTACCAAAAAACCTTGTTACAATGATATTCAGAGGTTGAAGAACAATAATCAAGTAATTGCTAAATGCATGGGAACAAAGTCTGTGCCAATAATATATTGCATGTACAGCAATATCAGCTTAACAAGGGTCTTACTATAGTGCCATGGGTGGCATGTAAATAAATTATTCAGTATTCTGATTTGGTGCCTTGAGGCCCATGCAGATTTATATTGGAAGATATGTACTTCAAGTAGGATGACTCAATTTAGCGTTTAGAACCCTCACACTCAGATTTCATTTGCAGAGTCCACTCGAGGTTAACCATTACAATGTATAACCTCTTCTATGCATACCCAACACAGGGATAAGCGTGAATAACCTGTGGCTATCTGAGTGTGCTTCCATCATCCCAAAAGCACAGTATCACTGCGAGAGAGAGTGGTGTGTGGATTTTACTGGATTTGAATCTACAAGGAAATTGTTCAACTGTCCTTTGCAGCTATTGATGGTGACATGAATTAAGATGATGATTGTGATTGAGATAGATTTCTATATAGTTTATTATACATGATATGCTCAGGTTCATATACCTCGAGCCAAGCAACCAGATTATGTTCCTCTAGATCTAGATTCATCAGAATAATTACTTACTCAGTAAAATTCTCCTAGTCTCAGTTGTGTGTTTAGGATCTTGACTAGGTTTCTAGTAACTAGGCAATGATGTTTCTCATATCACTGAGACATAGTCATGGTTGATACAACAGGTACAAACAATGAATTGTGTCTATACATGACATTGTGGAATAGTCATGATTGTCTGAACAATATCATACTCTGAATGAATTATGTCTCTACATGACTGAATCAGCTTTTTCTTGTCATAAATGGGGTAGGTGTTCAAGCTACTCAGTATCCACTTGAGAGAACAGCCTGAATGGTGTACCACTGCACCGTCCAGCCCGATGGATGACATATACTCTGCACGTAAATGAATTGACAAAAAAACATGCATCCTGAGAACCTGAATCAGGTATCGGATGGCTTACAAACTGCACACGCTCTTAATACAGTGGCTAGCATTATAACACGTATCTCGATCCACTCAAGGAATCGAGATCTATAGAAGCATAGGAACATCTCATCTCTAAGTTAGTATCAAGTAGGGAACTCAATTAGAATGAGACGTACCTGCTCAGCCTTACAAAAGTATGAGAACTCAGTGATAGTTACACACCGAGATGTACCACTTTGTTTTCATATGATTGCAATTTTGCTATCTGTTCTTGAATCCATCAGCTCCAGTCCTAATTGCTTTGAAGTGGTACGTTGTAAGATCTTAACAACACTAATGGCAATTCCCATGTGACTGTCATTTTTACACATAGAATTCCAAAAATATTTATATGTTCATATAGTTTATCTATTTGAATCTATGGCTATCTTATTTATAAAATAAAGTTTCTAGCCTGTGTGACCACTCATCCAAGAGCTTCATTTTCGAATAATTGAGACTCTTACACTAGTAATATCCAGTCAATGCTACACATCTCTCTATCTGGTTACTTGTCACTAGCTGATTATCTCGAAGCGGTTGGCTAATCTTAGCACCATAATAGAAAACACAGTGTTCGTTGACAGCAAGGTAGTAAGTGGATGGGACATCTTTTGCTAGTTTAGTTTTTGAATCATAGAAAATATAGAGCTATCAGAGGCTGAATAACTGACCGTAATGCATTGTACCACCCTGTGATACTGTAGGGAGTCTTATGAAATATAAACTGATCCCAGTTCCATCGTCTAAAGCCTCTCTTGGGTGACTATAATCATTTAGACCATACGAACCTTGCCTTTGAGAAGAGCAACGCATGTTGAGAAATTGCTCGAGGTTCTGGCCAGAGTATTCAACGCCATCACAATTTATTCCTTTATCTATTGTCCACGTTCCACTAACTTCATGCACAATTGTGAAAGCGATTAAAGCCAGGTACTTCAATGGTGTCATGTCGGCGAGTTTGAGTATTAATCAATAAAAATGTGGAGAGAAATCTTTATATTTTTGCTAGGTGTTGTATGTTTCACTGCTTACTCGAGTGTACGCCTGCTTGATTTATCGAGCCAGATGGAGCGCGATCATCGTAATTATCTATATAGGAAAGCTGATGCTAAGTGTGGAGTGAGAACTGATTCATTGATATTGTTTATATTTTCCACTTCTTGGTCATTTTGGCAAAGATTCTGCCTCGAAAGTGCTTTGGGAGCAGTAATGGATACGTGTTGGCAGAAGAGGGTAGAGTTGATTGTCACAGAATCCCACAAGTAAGATGAGGTGGAGATAATTGATCCCCTGTTGATCATGAATCTTGCATTCATTCCAACTACTATTGGCCATTGTGGTCACTCACTTCGCTCGAGATGGAAACCGGAATTCTAGCTCTATCCTCAACTTTAATTACTGATCCAAGTACAGCAAATTAAGAGTTTCGCTACCCTGACAGTGCCCCTCAACAATTTGCAATCATGCATAATGAAAATTTTTCAGTTTCCAGCTCACCTGTCTCAATCCGAGAGAGTTTAAACAATAAACAAAGTGTTAGAAACTGATACTGACGTCTATTGAGGCACCATCACAATATTTTGGTCTATGCAAACAACTTAAGCGGCAACAAATGGCTGTTACCATTTATGAAACAGAGCTCTGCAAGTGAAATACAGTAGATCCCATTGTCCCAACAATGCAATTATCAGGTAAATGTCTATTTAGACTATGCAGGTACAATGTGGAGATCCGTTATCTAATTTTTTAATTCACAGCTGTTCAAATTGGCGCTACTTGGAAATGAAGATTTGTATTTGTACAAAACACAATAAGGTTCTATTATTACTAGCCACATTCATGACAACTCATACATTGACCAGCCTCCCAATTATTTAGCATAAGCTAGTGAATCGTGTCCTTTGCTTAGCTGTAGAAATAAGTTTAAAAATTGCGCTCTGATACTAAGTGAGTTTAATCAACAACTCTCCACTATAGATTTCAGACTCTTCAATCTCCCAACTCGCTTCACTAGGTGATATTAAATACAAGCCTTACAGCTTACGCTTCTCTATACAACTTCCATTCCAACAGGTTATGACCCGGTGCCCAAAGAAAAGCATTAATATCCTAGAGTTTCCCTTTTCCTTATTGTCCAATCAATCGTCTAACAGTTCAACAGAAATGGCAAATTTACCTCCAAACCAAACCTCCACCCTCGATAAAGAAAACAATAAATATTTCACAAAGCGACATAACTGCTCAATGCGAAACATCTCGTTCTCTAATGTTACCCAACTGATTGGACACAATACCTATGAGTCATGGGCCACAATGATGGAGGCAATCTGGAAAGGCCAAAAGCTCTATGAACTTGTTGTTGATGGCAAAAAGCCAAAGGAAGATGCTTGCCTTGAAGAGCAGGAAGCGTTTAGCAAATTTTTCACAATTGCTATCAATATATAAATTCTAGTGGTATGTCTGAGTATACTGAGAAAAATTTTCAAGTTACAAGACCCCCACAAGATGTGGATCTTTTTGACAACCAAATACCATTGGACCAATAAGTTCACATTAATTCACCAGCTTGGATCCTTGATGTCACTCTTAATCACACATGATTCCAATGGCAAAATGACTCCTTTCTTAGACGTGTATGAGAATGAATACTTCCGGACTACTTTGTCAGCCCGTGAATCCTCCAGCCTCAGATGTCAAAGGATTGCTGATTTTTTAGATGATGATGAGATAAAGAGAGACTTGATACTGGCATTCTTAAGTCAAAATCACAAGAATATTGTTGACAACTTGGTAACAAAGGAAAATCTATCCTATACTAAAGTCAAGCAACGTCTTCTTGACATTGACCATGAATTACCTATGCAATCCTCTCCTCATACAGCTCTGATTACGCACTTTCGGAAGCTCAAAAATGACACCTCAAGAGTAGCAAAACTATCAAAGGTTACCAAATCTAGACACTCTAGAAACTCTATACCAAGAGAATGTTCCTTCATTAAGAAACATCATCTGTTCGAGTACAAAGATTGTGTATGGAACTCTTATGTCAGACTCCGCAAAAGGAAAGCCATGATATCCAGAGAACTTAACAATATCCATGAACGAGCAAATATTGCTGTCAATGGACCTCAAGAAGTTACTCATCATCCCTTCTACTTTGATACCTGTGCAACAGCTCACATGTCCTTACCCAGGAAGATTTGAACAAATTTCATCTTGCGCCGGTCATGTAATGTCCAGTTCAAACAAAAAGAAATCAATCGAGGGGAAAGGAGCTATAGTTTTAAACTGTATGCTATCAAATGGAAATATTTCTACATTTAAAATTGATGATGTGCTATATGTGCCCAAGTTATCCCTGCCTTTATTTTCTTGGAAGAAAACTAGATCTAAAGGATATATGCTCCAGGGCAATGGCATAACTATGAGGATCTATAAAAATAATAAGACTTGGTTGGAAGCTTATTACAATGGTCTGTTACCCATGATCAGGGAAAAGACCCAGAACAATGAAACCGCATGTTCAACCTTTCAATTTTGGCATGAAGCTCTCTGTCATTCAGCGCCTTCTACAATGTCTAAGACAGATAAGCTCATACAAAACTCAGGTATCATCCCAAATACACCCAAGAACTTTTACTGTGACGCCTGTATGTCTTCCAAATTAGTACATCAAAAGCCTTCTTCATCAATTATTAGAGCAAAACTAAATGGCAAATATATTCATTCAGACCTTGAAGGACCATTCCCTGATCCATCTTATGGCAACACTTTATACTACATAAGTTTCATAGATGATGCAACACGTTGTGCAACTATCCGATCCCTAAAATACAAATCTGATGCGGCGCAAGCCACTATAAATTTTAATACAGCCTTGGAAACGCAGTACAATTGCAAAATCAAGTCACTTAAAACAGATAATGGCAGCAAATGTGTCAATAAATCACTATCCAAATTTCTTGCTCAGAAGGGGATAAGCCATCATTTGACTCCTCCCTATTCCTCTGAATCAAATAGTGTAGCCGAAAGGCTTAACAGGTCGATCTCTGAAGGAATACGTGTTGTGATCCTAGTCTGCGCATGGAAGCAAGGGCTTCATAGACAAGACTCAGTGATGAAACAATATGACTTTAGTTATACAAGCTCATATTAATGCATGACTCAAATGTGAGTCGTGCTCATTATCAGGAGCTTAAGGATCAAACAACTTCGATATGCATTACATGAGTACATCAGACAATTAATGGACACGGCTGTAGGATAGATTGTATATGTTTATTATCAGGTCCATTTACTTCCTAGGTAGATTATGCATTCATCTTTAGATATCCATATTATCCTCAGATAGTCTAAATACATTTGCCCACCGCCAGAATATTCATTCCACATTTCTCAGGGATGACAGTTTGACAGTGTTCCACGGGGTGCGTTGTATAGCCTAGTGAAGATCTAGGTAGTAAGTGAATATTATAAATGGGTCAAAGGGATGACAGAACTTCTCTAGAAAGAGATGAATGGGCAACTAGTTGCAGTAGATGTTACACGTGGGTCTTGCTGATGAAGAACTGGGCGATGGATATATGGTCTTCCCGAAGAAGAGATGGGTGATCAAATGTATTGTAAAGGATAAATAAAGAATGTTGAAATTGGTGCTTCCAATTATGGAAAAGACAGGGATGTATAGAAGACACGTCACTAATCTCCCATTAATTGTGAGGTTAGTATTAATGCGCTTTGACGTAAATACCAACCACTAGATTTTATTATTACAAAATATAGTTTATATAGCACTCTGTGTCCTAGTGGGAGTAATTAACAACTCTCCACAACAGATTTACAGACTCCTTTACTTTCCCACTCGCTTCACCAAGTGATAAAATCTGTGCCTAACAGCCACAAGCTTTTGCAAACCAATCTGCTCAACAGGTTATGAGCCCGGTGCCTCTAAAAGCAAAAAGACTCCATCACTATGAAGCATCCTCATCTCGAAAGAAGTCTTCTAACTGCTCAACAGAAATGGAATCCTCGTCTTCGAAAACCGGCTTCTTCGCTTCGAGACTCGGAACCAACTACTTGCACGCAATGTCATTAACCAATGTAACCCACCTCACTGGTCCTGAAACCTATGAGTTGTGGGCCATTACAATGACTGCAGTATTTGAAGGGCAGGGACTCAACAAGATTGTTGTCAACGGCAAAAAGCCGGACAAGGACGCTTCGCCTGAAGAAAAAGGAGCATACAGCCAGCTTTCGAGTATTGCTGTAAATATATATATTCAGGTCGTCGGTTCAAAGATCCTTGGCAAGATCTTAAAACTCAAAGACTCTAATTTGATGTGGAAGTATTTGAAAGGGCAGTACCACCAGAACAGCTCTTTTACATTGATCCACCAACTTAGGTCGGTTGCGCTCCTCGCAAGTGCATACAATCCAAGTCGCGCTGTCAGTTCGGTAATCGACAAATTTGAGACGGAGTATGATCGGTTAACATTGTTAGCCCGAGAATCTTCAAACTCGAACTGCCACAAGCTAGCCGACTTTCTTGATGATGATGAAGTTAAGAGGAGTTACTTGTTGAGTTCGTTCTGTGAACATCATAAGGATGTAGTTGATAACTTGACAACTAAGAACAATTGTACCTATGACGTGGTTAAACAACTTCTTCTTGATCTAGATTGCACTGCACCTCCTCCAACAGCTCTCATCACGCAAGTTGGCAAAGCAGACAATAACTCTCTCAAGCCAAGGAAACCTGGAAGGGTATCCAAGCGTTCCAAACGCCCCTCGTCGAACGAATGTTCCTTCTGCAAGAAACGTTTTCCGACCGAGTATAAAGGGCATGTTTATAACTCTTGCCCTAGACTTAAAGAGAAATTGTCCCAACCGAATTTGACACAATCTGAAATAACCTTACAACGGGCAAATATAACCGTTACGGGCATTGA